ATGACAAAACTCCAGAATAAGAGGCATATAGCAAAGTGGACTAGGAGAGGAGTGGGGAGGAGAGGGAGAAAATTATGCAACAATGAATGGTTGGTTGGTTGGTTGGTTTTTTTAAAGTGAACTGGGGGATAAGAAGGAAAATGTGCAACAATAAATGAATGAAAATTCAACTTTTCTGTAAACTTTCATAATAACACAATTTAAAAAAAGTAGAGATTAAAACTCCTCACAACACAACAGTTTAAAACTGAGGCAGGCCCAATGCAAGCCCACTTTCAGTCTTTAAACTGTCCAGTTGCTCATGCATCTGAATGTTGAACGATGAATAAGGATGACAGAAGAATTGATGCCTTCGAGTTAGGTGTTGGAGATGAACACTACCCATGAAATGCCAAAGAATAATCTTTTGGAGGACATGAAACCAGGGTGCTTCTTAGAGGCAAGAATGGTGAAGCTTCATCTCATATACTTTTTGACATGTTGTCAGGAGGGGTCATTTCTTGGAAAAAGACCTCTTGTTTGGAAAGGTGGTGCATCAGAGAAAAGAGAGAATGCTGGTAACAAGATGGATTTACATGGTGACTGTAGCAATGAACTTGAGCACAGCAGAGATCATGAGGATGTGAGGGACAGGGCAAGGGTCAGATCTGTCGTTCACAGGGTCTCTGTGAGTCGTAGGTGACTTGATGGAACCTACCAATAGCAATGTTGTTGTTGTTGTTAGGTGCCGAAGAGTCTTAGACAACTCCTAGCGACCCTATGAACGGAAGACCTGAGCACTGTTCATAGAGTTTCTGGAGGCAAGCCATTTCGGAAGTGGATGTCACTCCTGCTTCCAGGCTTGTTTTAGTCAGGAAGTGCCATCAAATACTGTCCATCATGGGTGACCATTATCACATTAGGCACATCAGTGTCCCAGTGTTCTGCATCACAGCAACCACAAGTTACCTCTGTACAGCAATGCACAAGACCATCGCTATACCACCTAGAAGAATGTTTGACAAAAGCAATTTAAACCAGGCCTGAGGACCACAGATTAAAATCACCTATCTTGGACTTGGTAGCATAACTTTCTGTCCACTAGGCCAACTGAGCTCTATGTTGTCATTGTTATTGTTGTTAAGTGCCGTCAAGTCGTATACGACTCATAGCGACCCTATGAATGAAAGACCTGAGCTCTGTTGAAAAACAATAGTAATAACATTCTAAGGTTTTAGTAATAAGATTACACGCACTGGTGAAATTTTGAAGACCCTTGTATAAGGGTAAGTCTCCTCTCCCGCAACTTGTAGGCTCTGAAAACCCACTGGAAGGTCAGCTATGAGCAGGCTCTGACTTGACAGCAATGAGAGAAAGTCTCATATAAGGAACTTTTATGTTGTTCGTGGAACAGGGTAATAGTGGAAAAGCCAAGTATGGAGCTTCCTCTCATGGTTTTGAGGACACATGGCTTTCATTGAGTAATAGTTCTTTCATTTGCTTTCTAAGCTTTAGGTTTTTAAGAGTTCACATCTTAAAATGACATTAAACACCTCTATGGTCTGTAAGAGGAGCTTTGGTGGCATGATGGGGAAAAAGTTGTGCTGGCATCTCCAAGAAAAGGTGGTTTGAATCCACCATCTGCTCTGTGGGAAGAAGATTATCAAACACTCTCTTGTGTGACTTTTAGCTTTAGAAAATCCAATGGAGGATCGAGGGTCAGCTATAAGTTGGTCCTGACTCAATGGCAATAAAGACCAGATGATGTTTGTTTATGCTGTAAGGAGCACCTTTCTTGGACAATAAATAAAAACTACATTGTACAGAATAAAATTTGCATCAGCTCAGAGCGTTTTTGCATGCAAACTGTGAAGAGAACAAATTAAATGAACTTAAAGGAAACATAGTTAACAAGTCCTTCCATAGAAGACCTGTGGCCACTATAGAGGCTTTAAGGAATGAGTTAATCTCAGGGGGAAAAAAAATTAGCATTAGAATGTGAATGAAAGCACTCCGATAGTTTGAAAAAAAAAAAGATTCTTATTAAATCCTAAACATAGAACTTAGTATAACCTTACAGATAACATTTTAACGTTTTTATATTAGAATTGACAATTTTATAATCTTTAAATATAAAGTTCAATTTTGGTATTTATGAGCACCACACAAAGAAAACACTCATCCTTTGTATTTGCTGGGAATTCTGAAATCATCATCGAAAACTCTGTGTGTGTATGTCTAGCTCACCAAATCTCCCAAATCAAGCAATTACCATAAATAAGGACATACCTATAGACATAAACTTTTGTAATTTTCAGTATAGTCAATTTGACACTGTGTCCTTAGAAACCCTAGAACTAAATCATGTCACTTTATCAACATCCGTACCCCCGCCCCCCCAAACAGGGTTCCAGGTCTGACCTTCAAATTGTTCACTCATAGGTTTTAATTGCACAGTGGCAATTGATGATCTATACTGTGTGAGTGTGATTCACACTCTAGATTTTGGCTCTAACGCAAGAGTTTTATCGTTAAGCAGTTATAGATCATCTGAGAGCGAGCCAGTTTCACGGGCTGCTCAGAAGAGCATTTTCAGTGGGACATTTCTGGGTCTCAGTGTCCTCAGCACTAAGAGTAATTAATTAAAACAATTCTCCCACCAAATGGCAGTGTCAGAATAATATAAGCCCATGTCAGCTGGAGAACACTCAGAGAGAAAAATTCTAGTTCCTAAGCCCTTGAATTCCTATTACACTAGAGAACATTCTATACATATTTTCATTAGTATACCAACAGTCATTTCTACGTGGTGAAGTCATAGGCTGAGACTTACATGGAGAATAGGAAAATCCTTCAAAAGGAGCCTTTCTTCTTTTGTTGTTTTACATATATTTGGAACTCTGGCAAAATAGTCAGTTGCGTTCCTAACCCAGATGACCGTGCCTCTGTTGTGGTTCAAATTCATCAGCAGCTCTATAGGAGAAAGATGGGCAATGTCTCCTGAGTGATTTACAGACTTGAAAAACCCAATGGAGGGTCACCTATGAGTTGATTCTGATTAAATGGCAATGAGTCTTGAGTTTCATACGTGAGTGTGTATAACTAGCTGTCTCTTCCTGTACATATACTTAACACATTTAAACCTATCTGTCTATACTGTAACATTTGCCATTTCAACATTTTAAGGTGTACACTATAGTGATGTAAATTACATGAATCATGCACAGATCATGACCTGTCTCATTTTCATTCACTGCTTCTTATGGAATGACTCCCTCCTTCTTTCCCCCTCCGGCCCTGGGAAGCACTAAGGAACATTGGCCTCTATCCACTTGTCTCCTTTTGTTATTTCATGTAGGTGGGATTATACATTATTTGCCCTTTTGTGACTGACTTATTTCACTCAGCAGGATGTTTTCAGGCTTGATGCATGTTGCAGCATAGGTCAAGATTGCATTTTTCCAGACGAGCCCACCCCTTAGATTCCGTCTTCTCAGTCCTGCCTCCTTTATCTTCTCCCTTTTTCTGGCCCTGTCCACGCTCTCACGCCTATGGGAGACTGCTCCCTGGCGGAGCTCGTGCCAGAACTTGCTTCTGTCTTTCCTCATGTCACTGAGATTCCTCCTTCTATTTGCTTACTTGAATTCCAAGGACAAGTTAGGTACATATTTCACAGGGTATTGGTAGATGATAGGAGACTACACTTGTGCTTTAGTTTCCTAACATCTCATCTTTTTTTTTTTTGCTTTATATTGGTTTGCTTACAAAGTTGTATACATTGTGTATTCTGCATTCGTATATTATGTTTCATGCAGTCATTCCTACGCATTATATTTTAGAAAAGTCATTATCATTGGCTCTTGCCCATCATTACCCTTTCTTTTCACCTGGATTCTTCCCATTTCCTTCACACCCTCCCTCCACCGACCAAACTGTGCAACCCTGCGGTTTTGCCCTTACCCATTCTCACCCCTCCACTCCTACTCCTTCCTGCTTTGAGCTCCCTTACAGGTTTTACTAGTTATTCTTCTATTTTTACAATAATGGCCTTATGCAGTATTTGTCCTCTAACAACCAATCTTAAAGATGAAATCTCTGCTGGTGGGACTTCAGATAGGTCCAGTAGAAGACAATTTAGGTGGACCACTTATCTCATAGTCAGATAACATGGAGGATGAGTGATGAACTGCTGTGGGTTACTGTGAAGCTAGAACACTGACTGCTGTTAATGCACATGATTGCTAATCAAGAAGTTGGGAGTTTGAGTCCAGCAGATGTGTTTCAGAAAATGGCTTGGAAACCTACTTCCCAAAAATCAACCACTGAAAACTCTATAATACCGTTTTGCTCATGCTTCTGGGGTCATTATGAGTTGAAATTGACTTAGTGCCAGTTTTTGTTTGAGTATTTGGTATGATGATATTATCCTGGTATGGGGGCTGGGAAGAACCCTGGTGGCACAGTGGTAGCACTCATCTGCTAATGAGAAGGCCAGAAGTTCGCACCCACTGCTATTCTGGGGGAGACAAGATCTGGTGACCTGCTCTTGGAAAGATGATAACCAAGAAAACCTGTGAGGTAGTTCTTCTGTGTCCTATAGCATTATGGGAAGTAGAATGGACTCAATGGCAAAAACTTTTTGGTGTTTGTATGTGTAGGTTTGTTTTGTTTTGTTTTTTTGGTGTGTGTATGAAATAGGCTCTCTAGAATCAAGAGTTGAACTAGTATATACATGAAAACTATTGAAACAGAAAAATTGCCTTCTGTTTTAGTAGCTTCCTTGAAATGATATTCATTTGCCTAGCCTTGAATGAACACAAGATGCCCACCCAAATATGAATGAACCTATCTGCCAGTTAGTATAGAATCTTCATAAGGTGTAAGTGCACTTAGCCCAGCTGATAAAATGTTTTATAAAAGGTCCACATTTCAGGTGTTTTATTTATTATTTAATGTCAGTGTTAAGCTGGCAGCCTTACTAATTTGGAGTATGTTCTTTCTTGCTCTTCTTTTTGTCTTAGCTGGGCTTTGGATCTTTCTTAGGAATTATCGGCATCAATCTGGTGGAGAATAGAAGGCAAATGGTAAGAAACTTCATTTTCTCTTCCAAATGTGGGGTGAGTTGGGAGTGTTAGCTCTTTGGTTAAGAATGTTCTCTTTTCAGTACACATTCCTTGAAAAGGCCATCCCAATCCAGGTACATTCAAGGCCATTGCTTCTGGAGCCCTATCCTGTGCAACCCTAGATTCTAAGACTTAGCAGATGCCATTTACATGCTAGTCTAAGTTAGGACTACTGCTGGGACTGTGTCAGGTACATCCTTACAATCTCATATAGTGGCCCTAGTGGCTCAGGTAGAGGAATAAGAAGAAAATATTAAGGAGCAGGATAGGTTGGGAATGGATGGCAAATGAAATTAAATCATGGTAAATAACATATAAGTAAAAAAGTTACTAAGCTCAGCTGCTTTTGAATCAATACCCCTAGCATCTCCTCTTAGACTTAAGATAATGTTTTAGTCTCTCTCAGTCTATAGAAAGGATAGATAAAATTGGAAAAAAAAAGAAGCCAATAGTTTACAAGGTCTTCATGGAGTAGAAATATAGCCCCAGTACTTATTATTAGGAAGGCAATCAATGAAGATTCATGGAGCGCATGAGCGGTGATATTGATTGGCTTAAAATAGTAGGTATTTTTATTAATTATTTCAATTTACAATCTATTTTTTAATGCACTCTTTGGAGGATATATCTATAAGGGTATTCAATTTATTGTTGCCAATTCACGGTGGGAGCCAGTTTGAATTTTAAGAACAGTATTTAGAAAGCATTGTGTCACAGGGACCATTTGCATCTCATCTTCAAATTATTACCGCAAATTGTGCTGGTATTTCTAAGTCTTACCTGTAATAAGTTGATGGTTGCTTATAAAATTGGCAAATAGCCTCGCCCTCAGATAGTGATGGGGCCTGATTGTCTCTGAGTGTTCCTCCACATTCCAATGCCCAGGACAGAAGGTCATGTCAGCTTAGAGGTGGTATTTATTTTCATAATGATGGTGTATAGTTTCTGACTGAAAAAATTTGGAGGATCGATGATGGAAGAATGACAACTGTAAAAGAGGCTCTGATTCTAGTTAAATGAAATCTTTTGCTCTAATTATTGGGAGATACAGCGCACTGCCAGGTGACTGGCCAGCCCTGTGCTATTGTCTGATGAAAAAGATGAATAGATAGATCATGATGCCTTCCCCTTTCCCAGACCTCATTCCTAGTGCTTGGACACCTGGCTTTGGGCTTTTCCTCTGTGCTTTCTTTAAATTGTCTTGCACTTCCCTGAAGTCCTAATATTTTGCTGCTTTGTGTTGCTTATCGTGGAAAGAGATGATCTCCTACGGTCTGTCTCATCCCTTACCCAACCTCTCACATTAGTTGTGCATCCACCACGGTGGGTGGTGACTGAAATTCAATCTTGTTGGGCTACATCAATCTGGAGGAAGAGAAGCATTTTAAAATTGTTTCTCTGCCTGAGGGGACTTTGTTTTTTGTTAGTGAAGGCCCAAAACCAACCAGCCAACTAACCAGTTGCTATTAAGTCAGAACTGACTCGCAGAGACCCTACGTATGTTAGAGTAGAATCGTGCCTCTAGCAGTTTGTCTGGCTGATGTTTTTGAAGTAGATGGCCAGGATCTTCTTCCAAAATACTTCTTGGTGGACCTCCTATGTTTTGGTTAGCAGACAACTGGCATTAACTACACTATCCAAAGACTAAAGATTTTTGCAAAGGCTGCTTATCTGCCTTGCTCATGTGAGAGATTTTTAAGATAATACATTGAGGAAAAGAACTCTGGTGACATAAAAAATTACCCTGTCAACCCAAAGGCTTGCGGTTTGAATCCCCCAGCTTCTTCGTGGGAGAAAGGTGCACAATTACCTCCCGTGTAATTAACTGTCTCTGAAAACCCACTGGAGGGTCAGCTGTGGGCAGGTTCCTACTTAATAGTGTTCAATAACAACAGAGTGAGGAAAAGTATTTTTCTCCATGTTTAAACACATTATAGTTTAACTAATCAAAGAAGGATGAGTAAGTAAAGGTTACACTAAAATATGAAGGATTGAGACTGCTCAGAAAAAGCTGATTTTTTTGTGGAAGGGACTTCCACCTATATGAGAGTATTTTACTATTTAACCTCAATTCATCTTTCCAAATATGCCTCCTGGCCATCTCTTCCCATACTGATGTACTGATCCACTCGATTTCAGTTTTATCTGGCAGATCTAGCTACCTTATTATAGTTTTCATGGTTTAAGTGATTTTTCTTAAATCACACATTTTGTAATCTAAATTACATTTTCTTGTTCAGTTATCAGTTCTTGTCATCTAAAACAGAAGTGACATTCAGAGTTGTTCCAGAGTAAAGAATAAAAAAAAAAATTAAAGAGAGGAATGGTTAAAGTTTTTGTACTTTGCTGAAATTTCCTTTTCTTGGGGTTTATAAAACATTAATAAGGAGCTCTGTTGGCCCAATGGCAAGAAGCTGCACTACAATCCCAAAGGCACTCAGTTTGAATCCACCAGCTACTCCGCAGGACAAAGATGGGCAATCTCCTCCCATGATTTAAGCCTCTAAAAACCTACTGGAGGGTCAGCTATAACTCACTTCTGACTTGGCAGCTGTGAGATTGAGGTTTCTTTGATGAAACGTTAATTTGTTTTTACATTTTACTATTTTTCTTTTTACGATTTACATCTAAGACTAGCACTGTTTACTAGCCCTGACATTTGCTCAGTACATAAGGTCCAAAGCTTTCTTTCCTTTTTAAAAAGCTTTATTTTATAGTTTTCAATTTCTCCTCTACAACATCTAAGTTTTTGATGCTTTAATTATTTTTTTCTGGTGAAGCACAAGCTTATTTTCATGATCCCTGGTATTTTTAAACCATTAATTGCTTCAATGGAAACAACTGTAGAGACCCAAATATATGAAGTTTGGAACAACCAATTTCCAACAACATGCCAGCGATGTTACCAGCAACAGCATTCTGCTGGGGTTAAATGAAAGGAAACAGCCATCCACTCAGCATTTACTTTTGCTCTTGAGCGGGGACAGATGCCAATCTGGAAGCAGTCAAAGGTTTCTGACCTGGTACACGATCAGGAGGCTGTTGCATGGTGACGCGATTGTGCACTAAGTTATTGAGGAAGCTTGTGAACTCCTGCTGTTGTATTTATACTGGGGAGTGGGGTGGACAGCAGGAGGAGTGTAGTGGCAGCAGCTACAGAATGGGGATGTCTGTGTTAGTGATGTATTAAGCTGACGTGACTTGTTAAGAGGCTGGTCTCATAGTTTTGAACTGTGGTCTAGGAGCAGCTGGGTGGATGACACCACTGCATATTCTGGTTAATAAGATGAGTCTGGTTCAGAGCCAGATAGCCTGCTTGGAATCTTTGGTGATTTTTATGGATTGAATTGTGCTGTCCTCAAAACATATTTGAACTTTGAACGCAGCCTTTGATCCTGTGAACTCTCTGGGTGAGATAAAAAAGGTTGAAGGGGTTTAGATCATGCAAAGGTGATTTGGAAAAAAATGCCTAGTGACCCCTTTTGTAAAAATCAGCCATTGAAAACCCTTTAGAGAGTAGTTGTGCTCTGACACATGTGAGTAAGAATTAGCTTAAAGGTAAGTTGAGTTTTTCATTAGTAACTGTGAATATGATCTTATTTGGAAATAGGACTTTTTTTATGCTAATGTGGTTATACTGGAGAGATGATTCCTAAACATAATCTTTTCCGAGTGGTGTCTTGCAAACAGAGTAATATGCGCTCACACACACACACACACACACACACACACACACACAGCCATATGAAAATAGGTAGATGTCCCATGGTTACTTACAAAAGGAGCCCTTCTCCCTAGAACAAATGCCCTCATTTAGACTTCTAGACTGTAAAACTGTGAGACTGTAAATTCTGCTCTTTAATGCTACCAGTTTATGCTCTTTTTATAGGACTACACTAGGTAACTCACTGATGTGTCAAGTGCGTTAATGGTTGGCTACCCAATGTGGACAGAGAGTGGGGTGGAGCTCCCCTATTAAAATAAGCCTGGAAGGAGAAGTGGCATCCACTTCCATAATAGCTTGCCTCTGGAAACCCTATGAACCTGGAGAGAGGATGAAAGGCACCCAAGTATTGAGGACTCTCCTTCATAGGGTCGCTATGAGTTGCCTGTGACTCGACGGCACTTAACAGCAAACAACAACACTAGGTCACTAGAAAGGATGAAAGTCACACAAGTGTTGAGGACTCTCCTTCATAGGGTTGCTATAAGTCGCCTACAACTCGATGGCACTTAACAACAATAACATCAACATAGAGAGCGATAAGTTGGCCCAGTGGATAGAAAGGGATGCTACCAAGCCAAAGGTGGGTGACTTTTAATCTGCGGCCCTCAGGCCTGCTTTTCATTGTTTTTATTCAGACAGTCTTCTAGGCTGTATAGGCCTTGTGTGGACACCGTGCAGCGGTAACTTGTGGTTGCTGCGAAGCTGAACACTGTGACACTGATGTGTCAAATGCGTTAATGGTTACCCATGGTGGACAGTGTTGGGTGGAACTCCCTGGTTAAAACAAGCTTGGAAGCAGGAGTGGCATCCACTTCTGTAATAGCTTGCCTCTGGAAACCCTATGAACCTTTTAAATCACACAAGTGTTGAGGACTTTCCTTCATAGGGTCACTATGAGTTGCTTACAACTGTATGGCACTTAACAACAACAGGCCACTAAGAGACACACACACACACACACACACACACACGCGTTATCTTTAGTCAAGAATGGTCCAATCTTTTTATCCTTTTAGCAATTTTCTGGAAGTCTCAGCTCAACTCTTCCCTCTTTTAGGCAACCTACTGTGATTGCAAAGCTCAATACCATATTTCTTTGTATTCCTGTGATGTTTCTACTTCAGCTAATGCATTTGGATTGTTGTATCGATGGGTCTCCCGAGAATGTCCTGAGGTCCTGGACTCTGGCTTATTCCACTCAGCACCTTCAGTGTGAGCACAAGTTTGGCAAGCA